GTCCTTGGCAGCGAAAGGGTTAAGGACAGTAAATAAAACAGTGTGCATTCTGGGGAAAAAAATAAGACATCCCCCGGAAATAAGACCTTTTTTGGGGGCAAAAAAAATATAAGACAGTGTCTTATTTGCGGGGAAACACAGCAGCTGAACTGGAAAGTGAGCTGAATTGGAGAATTTTTCCAAATCAGTTATGTTGTCCTAGATTGTTCACTTCTCCAAACTCTTCACCCTTTTGTGAATAACCCCCAAAGTGAACAGTACATTTGGTGGCTGCCATTGGATCCATTTTATTAAAACTGACACTTGACTGTATGGTAGGGGAAAAAAAAGAGTTGCTTTAAAACCTGCACCAGGAGCTGGAGATATACATTCATTACAAGGAACGTTATTTTGCTTTAGGCTTTCTACATGTTTAATATGTTCAATTATATATTCATTATATCCTGCAACCAGCCACGGTGAATTTTTCAGCTCTCCGGCATATATGAATTACACAAAGATGACGCTTACAAGGATTATTTTCCTAATAAAATCAGCCTTGCAGAAGTATGGTGAAAATAAAGGAAATGCATTCAAGAAATTAAAAGCGATTGTAAACGCAAAACTGAAAAAACAAAAACATATTTTGTACATCTCTGAAATACATGCACATTAGAGCTGCAACAATTATCCGATTAACTCGATTAAAATTGACGATGGAAAGCTTTGTCAACGTTTTCCATCTTCGATTCATCGGCTAAAATTCAAATTTCCCGCTCGCTGCTGCACGCCGCTTAAGCCCGCCGCTCACGCAACGCCCACATCGGTTAAGCCTCTCGGGCCACGCCGGTAAACCCGCTCACGCGCCGCCGCTTACGCCACGCCAACCGCACACGTTGAGGACATGCGTCTGGCCCTCTCCTTCCGGTGAGCTTCCCGACTCGCCGCTGCCCGCCGACAACCAACAACGCCGCTGCCCGCCGAGAACACCGTCATTCAAAGTAAGTCAAGATCGGCCGGGAGCTTTTTAATGTTTCCTGTGTGGGTTTTTTTTTTAAAGCGGCACACTGCAGAACATTAGCAGCTATAGAGGAAAAACAAATCCCAGCAGTAATATATTATATACAACGCAATGCAGAATACCAGCAGTTACAGAGGACTACAAATCCCAGCAATAGTACATTATAGTATAATGTACTATTGCTGCATTCCTCTATAGCTGCTGGTATTCTGCACTGTGCCGCTGTATAATGTACTATATTGTACACTTTTTTTTTTACTTTCACCACGCCAAGCTTGCTCCCGTGATGGACTACAATCTCAGTAGAAGCTAGTAGTCCATCACTTGAGCCTTTTTTTTTATCCGATTAACCGATTAATCGAACTTAATAATCGGCGAACTAATCGATTTAGGGCTGCAACAACTAATCGACATAATCGATTATAATCGATTATGTCGATTAGTTGTTGCAGCCCTAAATCGATTAGTTCGCCGATTATTAAGTTCGATTAATCGATTAATCGAACTTAATAATCGGCGAACTAATCGATTTAGGGCTGCAACAACTAATCGACATAATCGATTATAATCGATTATGTCGATTAGTTGTTGCAGCCCTAAATCGATTAGTTCGCCGATTATTAAGTTCGATTAATCGATTAATCGAACTTAATAATCGGCGAACTAATCGATTTAGGGCTGCAACAACTAATCGACATAATCGATTATAATCGATTATGTCGATTAGTTGTTGCAGCCCTAAATCGATTAGTTCGCCGATTATTAAGTTCGATTAATCGATTAATCGAACTTAATAATCGGCGAACTAATCGATTTAGGGCTGCAACAACTAATCGACATAATCGATTATAATCGATTATGTCGATTAGTTGTTGCAGCCCTAAATCGATTAGTTCGCCGATTATTAAGTTCGATTAATCGATTAATCGAACTTAATAATCGGCGAACTAATCGATTTAGGGCTGCAACAACTAATCGACATAATCGATTATAATCGATTATGTCGATTAGTTGTTGCAGCCCTAAATCGATTAGTTCGCCGATTATTAAGTTCGATTAATCGATTAATCGAACTTAATAATCGGCGAACTAATCGATTTAGGGCTGCAACAACTAATCGACATAATCGATTATAATCGATTATGTCGATTAGTTGTTGCAGCCCTAAATCGATTAGTTCGCCGATTATTAAGTTCGATTAATCGATTAATCGAACTTAATAATCGGCGAACTAATCGATTTAGGGCTGCAACAACTAATCGACATAATCGATTATAATCGATTATGTCGATTAGTTGTTGCAGCCCTAAATCGATTAGTTCGCCGATTATTAAGTTCGATTAATCGGTTAATCGGATAAAAAAAAAGGCTCAAGTGATGGACTACTAGTTTGTGGTGAGATTGTAGTCCATCACGGGAGCAAGCTTGGCGTGGTGAAAGTAAAAAAAAAAGTGTACAATATAGTACATTATACAGCGCAATGCGGAATACCACCAGCTATAGAGGACTACAAAACCCAGCAATAGTACATTATACTATAATGTACTATTGCTGGGTTTTGTAGTCCTCTATAGCTGGTGGTATTCCGCATTGCGCTGTATAATGTACTATATTGTACACTTTTTTTTTTACTTTCACCACGCCAAGCTTGCTCCCGTGATGGACTACAATCTCACCACAAACTAGTAGTCCATCACTTGAGCCTTTTTTTTTATCCGATTAACCGATTAATCGAACCTAATAATCGGCTAACTAATCGATTTCGAAAATAATCGTTAGCTGCAGCTCTAAATCGATTATGAAAATAATCGTTAGCTGCAGCCCTAATGCACATGTTCCCATGTTTTATCCCTTTAAACACACTGCAAGTATAGAAAACGATATTTCTGGCACTCCAGCTGCAGCTGCTCCTACCTTTCTCTTAGACAACATAATGTATTTTTGGCTCTGACTTCCAAAGGGCACGGTGTAAGCCCTGCCTACTTCATTTCTGATGAATTACAAAGAACACAGATCTCTTCACATCTCCATAACCCAGCTTTTCTGAATGCGTTTAACATTGAGGAACCATTAAAATGGCTTTCAGGTCTCAAGGAACCTATGCCAACATTTACCAGAGCTCTGAAGCTCACAGAAAATTAGCATGATTGTCAATAATATGGTTGTGGTCAGTTGGAAGAATTCCCCTATTACACATAGCTGAAACAGTCATTTAGGTCAGTGACAACTGAGCTATGGGTCACTGGAGGAGGTTAGTATATATCCTCCCGGGACCGCAAAGAGAACTATGGAATAAAAAGGTTACCCCATAGTTTTCTTTTAAACCTAAAAAATGCATTCAAGTACCTTAACTATTAACAAAAATGTATCTTATTTGTGTATCACTCGGCTGTAGATCCTCAAATCATTTCTGATATGTTCTGACACTGTCCTGACACTGTCCTTACTACTGGAGTGGGGCTACGTTTGTTCCCCATGGTCCCTGTGTGTTGTAAAGTAGTCACCACTCCAAGCTCGCTCCTGTGATGGACTACAATCTCATGTTTAGTCTAATTTGTAATGAGATTGTAGTCCATCAAAGGAGTGAGTTTGGAGCTGTGGCTACTTTACACCACACACAGGGACCATGGGGAACAAAAGTAGCCCCCCTCCAGAAGGATGGGTTAGTTAAGATACTTGAATGCGTTTTTAGGATTTAACTCCTGAGTTTAGTGTCACTTTAATTAAAGCCCACTTTCAACTTTAAGTAGAAATACACCCTCCTATCCCTTACAGCCAAGGAAGGTGCCACCTTGGCCTCTATTTCAATTGCCGGTTCCCATGGTGCTGCACATGTGATCAGCTATGACACTAGTCATTTGAGGGCTTGAAAGTTCATTGAGCGCTAAAAAACAGCACACTGGTAACCTTGAGTATTGGCATACCTTAAAAGTACCTGTTTTGGGAGACATTTAATTAGCGGGTTATGTTCCTCTTTAACATACATCATTTTTTTTTTTTTAACTTAGGCCCCTTTAACAATGGGCGGTCTGCCTGCCAGTTTTTTAGGATGCCCAATGCAAGTCTATGGATCTAAATGGAACGGTGCCCGTTTACATCTGGTCGCCCCCGGCTCCGACCAAGTCCGGAAAATGAAACGGCAAAAAGTATTCCGTTTGGCGGGACCTGATCGTGCCAGATCGGGCGTAATCTGATGTAAACAATCCGACTGGTGTACAGGCCGGGACAGGAAGGAGAATCAGTAGGAGACAGAGCATTGCACCCGCCATCCACAAGATCATTAAGAGATAAGGTTTCATTGCGGAATAATATTTATTTTGTACAGCGCTGCATGACGGAATAAACGTCAGTCAAAGTACCGCAGCGCTGAATACTGAAAAATGGCCTGGCCAGGAAGGGGGTCTAAACACCTGGTCTTGAAGTGGTTAATAGATATCTGTGGATCAGACCAAAAAAGGAGGAGGAAAGAGGGACAGTGGCGTTGGGTTCCAAATGTGGGGCAGTTGGGAGGTACGGTCTATACTGTAAATCTTAATATCACCGTAAATCAGGAGTGGGCAACAACCGGCCCTGCAGCTGTTGTGGAACTACGAGTCCCATGAGGCATTGTAAGACCTGACAGTTACAGGCATGGCTCCTGGAGGCAGTGGCATGTTGGGATCTGTAGTTAAAGCACAGCTGGAGGGTTGTCCACCCCTGATTTGAGGTCTACCCGATGTTTCATTTAAAACCACCAGTAATGATTGTTCTGTGGGACCCAACAAAGCAGCTTTTGTACTTTGCGTCACCACAACGTGCAGCCGGTGTGTGACTTCACACACACACACACACACACTCCTACCTCTGCTTTACCTTCAGCTATTACAAGACTTAGCGTGGCTTTTGTTCCAGCTTTTACAAGCAACTTGAGAAGAGGCGGCGTCATGGCAACAACAGTCAATGCATAACACAGGGCCCGAGACATTCTTTGGATAAAATAAAGCCTATGTGCACTGTGTACCTTTTGGTGCCACCGAGGAAGGTAAAGGTGAAAGTGGAGTCCGAGTATTTGAAATCTAGAAGGAAAAAAAATGAGAGAGAGGACGTGATGTGATATATATATATATTCCCAGTTGTCAGCAGCAACCCTCTCCCACCACTGATGAGGTAAGCAAGCTATAGGCACCTTACATTGCAGGAAACCCCTATTTCAACAAGTGCATTGGTGCCATGGCAACCGGGGGAATTTCAGCTGTCAGTGAAAGCAACACAACACAGCCCATCTATAGTCCTACAGACATACATATAATGCAAAGGCAAGAGCATGAGCTAATCTTACACAAGCAATGGATACAAGACATATTTGTAATCGTCATCTTGTAAGGGGAAAAAAAAAATAAAGGGATAGAAAATGGGAGGAGGATGGTGGCATGATCAATCATCAACCATACTTCCTCCTATTGGTAACCTAAATGCCAATAATGATAGTGATAGTAATTATAATAATAAGCATAATGGGTCTAATAATAACATGTGCATATGAAAAACAATGTTGTGCTTGGGCTGAGACCTCTTGGTGTCGACCAACTGGTAAACTGATTTTTTTCTACAACCGATGCCCCCAACATGCACCCTCGTGAACCGGCTCCGATCCCATCCGCTTCGCCCATCCCAGTCCGGGTAGCCCATCAGGAAGCAGCTCTTTCCACAGCTCGGTGCGCTCAAACTAACGGATCGGTTGCCACGTCTCGGCACGCGCCGTGGCTCCCTATCTGGTTGCCATGGGGGGGCGGGGGGGGGAGTGCTAGTACACAATTCTTAGGAAAGGCATTTATGTGACCAAATAAGCCCTGTAATTGTCAGCCCATGCCCCGATGGCAAGCCAGGAGAAAAAAAAAAGGGAGGGAGGGAGGCACAGGGGAGTCAGAGGAGGGGAGCTGCGATGGCTTGTCGCCCCCAATAACTCACCTGAAAACAGGCAGTCCTTCTCCGCCTTGCACTTTTGGATGACAATGTCGATATCCTTCTGAATCCTCTCTTGCCTTGAACACATCCCCATGAAATACACTCCCTGGGAAAGCAGCTTTATTGTCCCCCAGTGCTGTGCTCGGTGGAATAACACCAACACAAAACAGCCTGTATGGCAGCTCTCTCGGCTCTCCAAGGCGTTTGCTGGAGCTGGTGGAAGAGGACTGGGCTGCTAATGATGCTGCTGCTTCTTCTGCTGCTGCTGCTGCTTCTTCTTCTTCTGCTGCTGCTGCTTCTTCTTCTGCTGCTGAAGAGTGAATAATAACAATCATCAGCAGCTCGCAGCAAGAGGGCGAGAGAGAGAGAGAGAGAGAGAGAGAGAGAAGAGCAGACAGAAGAAGTAGAGAGGCAGCACAGAGGAAGGAGGGGGAGAGCTGCAGCTAGTGGATGTACATCCAGAGCTGGTTGGTAACCCTTATCGTGGAAGAAGTAATAGGAAATGCTATGTGTCGGATATGTAGGTGAGCACCTCATTAATTCTTAGGGAGGCATTGCATTCTAATGCCTCCCCACAGGAAGTATTGCATCCTGATGCCTCCCCACAGGAAGTATTGCATCCTAATGCCTCCCCACAGGAAGCATTGCATCCTAATGCCACCCCACAGGAAGCATTGCATCCTAATGCCATCCCACAGGAAGCATTGCATCCTAATGCCACCCCACAGGAAGCATTGCATCCTAATGCCATCCCACAGGAAGCATTGCATCCTAATGCCATCCCACAGGAGGCATTGCATCCTAATGCCACCTTGCAGTAAGCATTGCAACATAATGCCACCCCGCAGGAAGCATTGCATCCTAATGCCACCCCACAGGAAGCATTGCAACCTAATGCCACCCCGCAGGAAGCATTGCATCCTAATGTCATCCCACAGGAAGCATTGCAACCTAATGCCATCCCGCAGGAAACATTGCATCCTAATGCCATCCCACAGGAAGCATTGCATCCTAATGCCACCTTGCAGTAAGCATTGCAACATAATGCCACCCCGCAGGAAGCATTGCATCCTAATGCCACCCCACAGGAAGCATTGCAGCCTAATGCCTCCCCGCAGGAAGCATTGCATCCTAATGCCACCCCACAGGAAGCATTGCAGCCTAATGCCACCCCACAGGAAGCATTGCAGCCTAATGCCATCCCGTAATGCCAGCTCTGCGTACAGCCGCAGACACCTGTGCTCTTAGGAACGGTATACACATACACACACTTATCCTGGGGAAACACAGTCACACCCACAGGCAAGATGTGTGTGTGTGGGAATATGGAGCTGCCTGACTCATCCACAGCAGGGTCATACACAGATCAGCCGTGGGCTTCTTCACAAATACCGAAGGAGCCATGCTGAACCTGTATCAATGTACGCAGCTTCAGTTGCTCCATCTCTTTCCTGGATTTCTTAGTTGCCATGGCAGTGATGAAAGCCAGGGAGGCAAAGATCATAGACTTCTATTTTTGCATGACCCCATGTAACCCTATCGCTATAGGTCTCGTGGGCTGGAATCGACCATAGGGTTAAAAGGGTGCTGCAGCGACTCCCGACTGGTCACGGTGCATAACAGGGATAAAGTATGTCGCCAGAACACCAACAAGCTCGGCTCAAAGTGCAAAGCTGTTTTTTATTGCATGATCATGTAAAGAAGAGACGTACTGGGAGAAACGCAGGGACCCTATATCAGGCGTGTGATGAGGGGTTCCTCCATGGTCCTGAAATGTTGCTTCTCTATGGGATCATTTAATAAGACGAGTTTGCACTTTGAAACAGACTTGGTGTGCTGGCGACATACACTATATTGCCAAAAGTATTGGGACACCTGCCTTTACACGCACATTAACTTTAATGGCATCCCAGTCTTAGTGGGTAGGGTTAAATATTGAGTTGGCCCACCCTCTGCAGCTATAACAACTTCAACTCTTCTGGGAAGGCTTCCACAAGGTTTAGGAGTGTGTCTATGGGAATGTTTGACCATTCTTCCAGAAGCACATTTGTGAGGTCAGGTACTGATGTTGGAGGAGAAGGCCGGGCTCGCAATTCTCCTTTCTAATGCATCCCAAAGGTGTTCTATCAGGTTGAGGTCAGGACTCTGTGCAGGTCAGTCAGGTTCCTCCACCCCAAACTCCCCCATCCATGTCTTTATGGACCTTGCTTTGTACACAGGTGCAGAGTCATGTTGGAACAGGAAGGGGCCATCCCCAAACTATTACCACAAAGTTGAGAGCATGAAAGTGTCCAACATGTCTTGGCACTGGCGGAACTACCAGGGTCGCAGCGGTCGCAATTGCGACCGGGCTGTGTTGATTTGGGGGGGGGGCCCTCAATGGTTTCTTGCACCGGGGCCCTGGGGTTTCTAGTTACGCCTCTGTGTCTTGACATGCTGATACCCTAAGAGTTCCCTTCACTGGAACTAAGGGTCCAAGCCCAACCCCTGAAAAACAACCCCACACCATAATCTCCCTCCACCAAACTTTACACTTGGCACAATGCAGTCAGGCAAGTACCGTTCTCCTGGCAACCGCCAAACCCAGACACGTCCATCAGATTGCCAGACAGAGAATTGTGATTCGTCACTCCAGAGAAGACGTCTCCACTTCTCTAGAGTCCAGTGGCGGCATGCTTTTCACCACTGCATCCGACGCTTTGCATTGCACTTGGTGATGTAAGGCTTGGATGCAGCTGCTCGGCCATGGAAACCCATTCCATTAAGCTCTCTATGCACTGTTGTTCTGCCAATCTGAAGCCACATCAAGTTTGGAGGTCTGTAGCTATTGACTCTGCAGACAGTTGGCGACTTCTGCGCACTGTGCGCTTCAGCATGCGCTGACCCCGCCTACCACTTTGTGGCTGAGTTGCTGTTGTTCCCAGTTGCTTCCACTTTGTTATAATCCCACTAACAGGTGACCGCGGAATATTTAGTAGCAAGGAAATTTCACTGAACACCTGAATCCAATGATTTGGAGGGTGTCCCAATACTTTTGGCAATATAGTGTATCTTATCCATTGCTATAAGTGTCGCATAGCAGTAGATAGGACAGGGATGGGCAACCGCGGCACTCCAGCTGTTGTGGAACTACAGTTCCCATGAGGCATTGCAGGATTCCCCAAAGGTAGAGGCATGATGGGATTTGCAGTTGGAGCACAGCTGGAGTGCTGAGGTTGACTACCCTGGAGATAGAATAGTGACCATAGAGTAGGGGGCTGTGTCCCTAGGGTGCCCACACCCAGAAGATCTTTGCATTTGGATCAATGATTGGGTGCGTACAGGCAATCTTCCTAGCAGTAATTATAAGCCCTTTGTAGATGAGCTCACTATCATACAAAATTGCCCGCAGATTCACCTCTTAGGGTTGCTTAAGCTGCCCATACACCTTACAATTATCGTTCGATTTCTATCGTCCTGTCATCGAACCCCCTTTCGATTTCCGCTCGAATACCCCATCATGTACAGACCAATGTAAATTTCAATTATCGTTCGTTAGCAATACTAACTGGCCGAATTTCGTCAATCGACAGAACGGATTTTCGTTTGCGCATGTGCAGCGTTCATGTTGCAATTTATTCCGTATGAAAACGCCACCAATCCATCAAATTTTGTACGATTTGACCAAAGTTTTCCAAGCTGACCGATTGAGGAAATTCAGCCAGTTGTACAATAATTCTGATTGTTCACTTCCCATCAACTGGCCGATTATCTATGAAAACCCGATTGCGTTCGTTTTCCGGGCACCTTTAGGGACAATAAGCATTACATATTTATATGATTGCTAAAATACATATCAATTGCAAACGAAAGAGATCAAAGGGCAATGTTTGATCTATACAAAATTCAAGACAGGTTTTGATCGTTTTGCCACAAAACGCGTTCTATAAACGGAATAAGCGATCTCCTAATAGAGCGATCTGAAGTTTAAAAAGGGTTAAAAATCAAATCATTGATTGATTTTGATCAATTTTTAATCTGGATTCTCAGATCAATCCACATCAATCTAAACTGGTAAAATCGATTCAAGACTGATTGGAAATGGACATCTCCATCACACGATCATTTGCCATTTCGGATGAAATCGCACATCGAGCATATCATTTTCTCGATACCAGTCAGTCATAAACCAAATGTCTCTCCAGACTCTTATAAACACTTGGTATATGAATGTTAACCCTTTAAAAGTTGGTGACACCTGAGGCATTACATAAGGTTCTTGGTCATGTGAGCACTGTGATTGGTTGTCACAGTGATCACTAGATCAGGAGCCCGCCCCACCAACTTCCAAGAGTGACCGAGAGCTGTGGGTGACATCGCTACATGTAAACGCCTGCACACCGCATGTAATGGTATGTGATATGATTACATGTGGTTAGGAATCATTCTCCCTGGACGCATTGATCCTGCATTCAGGGATAATGATTTACCACATGTAATCATATCACATACCATTACAAGTGGTGTGCAGGCGTTTACATGCAGCGACTGTCACCTGATCATTACCTTGAATGGGCGACAGCTGCCACATGTAAACGCTACATTAGGAATTCCTGCTGCAGGAAAACTCAAGTTCCTGATGCAGGAATCCCTAATCGCACCTAAACATACAGGTGTGAATGGGGCCTTATTGTGTGTAAATTAGTGTTTGTAATTCTGGTTGAGGGGGGTTGTGCATATTTCCGTTTGTGTGTATTTTTATGTGTGCGTATCTCTGTGTGTGTGAAGTATGACATTTGGCAAGCGGCCCCCATGGGAGAAAAAAATGTGTCCAGTGGCCCCCGAGTGAATTGAGTTTGAGACTCCTGCCCCAGACAAAAACAAGCATTTAAGCAGAACTCTGGGGGAAATTATTATTAACCCTAGCAGTGGGGCTTCCCTCACACTGCAAGGGATAAGCACTCGTTTTGGTCTATAGAGGAAAATAACAAAGTTATATTCACCCAATCTCAGTGTCCTCTTCTTTGAGAACACTGCTACCATTTTTTTGTGCATATTCACCCAATCCTCTGAGCCAGCTGGCTGTAATAGAGCTCCTCCTAGCCTGTCTTCTCCTACGCCACAGCAATGGTATGTCCCTTGGTGTCCTCAAGTCCTGTACACTGTGTTTTGCATATGATTATTCACAGGATCTTAGACTGCTGCAGCGGAGGGGAGGAAAGGCTTCAGGGACCGACCTAAGAGCAAGCTGGCTCCGAGGATCAGGTGAGTATAACTTTGTTATTTTCCTCCTTGACCGAAACGACAACTTAACTCTTGCAGTGTGGGGGTAGCCCCACTGCAAGTAGTAATAAGAAATTTACCCAGAATTCTTCTTTATCTCTTACATTACAGGGGCAGCTCCCCTGCATGGGTAGGTTTGGTTTTTTTTTGTTACAAATGGAGATAGACTTTAATGCAAACCTATTGCTTTACCCATCCAAGGCAAAGCAACAGCTTTGCTTTAATCCTCTCTCCCCAGCAACACATACGTACCATTCCCTGGCCTCCTCATGTCAGCATACCCATGGGTCAGCACCGCCTCTGACCCCGCCCAGGACAACCTTTTTCTAGCTAATAAAACAGCATGAACCAGCCCCCACTACCCCCCCCCCCACCCCCCCCCTACCGTTTTTCTC